AGCCTGGTGAGCGGATGTGCAGCCTGGTGAGCGGATGTGCAGCCTGGTGAGCGGATGTGCAGCCTGGTGAGCGGATGTGCAGCCTGGTGAGCGGAGGCTCAGGCAGTGTGATTATGTAACTTTTCAGTTATGATGGAATTTTATTTCATAACCAATGAGACACTATCAAATCCTGACCTGTTTATCCTTGCCACATGGCCAATTTAATTTGCCCTCAACTAGATACTGCATTTGATGCTTTTAATGTAAGTGATACATAATATCATGTTAGTGGAGGAAAAATGGAGGCTTTAGGATTAGCTATAATTGCATTTTCAGTTCTATTTCTGTGTATCATTATCCATAAAACCCATTCATCACCATGTATTTTTTTGAGCATGTGATCAGTAGTGTTTGCTATCCGTTTCATATTAAGAACCCAGTATTTAGATAAAATTCAGAGGAAGTGAAATGGCATCTTAAAATGTAACATCACTTGATTGCTTGGAGTTGTTAGTACGCCAGAAGGGTTTAGGATCTAAGATTGTGAATTTGGGATTCATAAATTTTATTTCAAATAAATGAAGGTAGAAAATGGGTTATATTTACCTCCTTGAGCAGATAAGGTTGAACTTTAATAAAACTGGAAATTGGCACTTAGTTTAGAAGGCTATTTTTTTTATTTTGTGTGTCAGGAGTGTTTTACCTGCATGCATATCTGTGTATCCCATGCACTACTGTTGCACAAGGAAGCCAGAAGAGGGCATCACATCTCCTGGAACTGGAGTCAGAGTTGGTTGTGAGCTGCCATGTGAGTGTTGGGAATCCAACCCAGACCCTCTGGAAGAGCAGTTAGTGTGCTCTTAACCACTGAGCCATCTCTCTGGTCCCTGGATGGCTATTTTATGTGAGGGAAGATTTAAACTGGAAAGCTTATGTTTCACACAATGAGAAATGAAATTGAGAGATGCTAATGTATAAAATAAAATGCCTCTATCTATTCACAGCAGGAATAAAAGCCAAGGCTTTGTGAGGTAGGTCCAGCCTCCATCTCAGTCAGTGATCAGATAATTGCTGTGTTGTTGTTTTAGACAAATAGGGTTTGTTGCTGTGGTTGAGCATAGGCTATAACACTGAGCTAAATGTAAGTGTGGTAACGTTCAGAGGTTTCTTTTTTTTTTTTCCGAGACAGGGTTTCTCTGTGTAGCTTTGTGCCTTTCCTGGAACTTGCTTTGCAGACCAGGCTGGCCTCGAACTCACAGAGATCCGCCTGCCTCTGCCTCCTGAGTGCTGGGATTATGTCTGGTGTCATATTCTCCACTTACTGCCTTGATAAGCTGATGAAGAGCTGGGAGGAAACTTTCCCTGTTGTGAACTCTAGATGACTCACTTGGGTCTGGTAGGGGGCTTTCTAGAAACAGCTAGACATTTCATTTTCTCAAACAAAGGCATCATCAGGTAGGAACCTCACTCATCTACCTCTTGAAACACTGCTTCTGCCATAGGACCCAAAGGAACGATTGGGTTGTCATCCTCAAACTGGATTTGCTGACATCCAAGGACACCCATTCTTCCGAAACGTGGACTGGGACATGGTATGTAAATTTTTTTCCTTGCTTGGGTTTTATTGTAACTAAGGACCAACTTTTGTTACATTAATAAGTTATTGAAAAGCTAAGATATGATAGCTTAAATAACTTAAAACTACTCAATGGTACTTATAAAAAATTTTAAGAGAGCGGGGCAGTGGTGGCGTACAACTTTACCCCCAGCACTCAGGAGACGGAGGCAGGTGGATCTCTGTGAGTTCCAGGCCGGCCTGGTCTATTGAGTGGGTTCCAGGATAACCAGGGCTACACAGAGAAACCCTGTCTTGAAAAACAAACAACAGACAAGAAACAAAATACTTTAGAAATAAAACAGAATATTAATGTACTGGAGCAGTATGTAATATTACGGAGGCCCACATCAGTGTTCAGATTGCTGAGATGTGGCCCTGGTTGCTTGTTGCTGGAATTGTACAGCAGCATGCCTGGTGAGACTTAGAGAACAGAGTCAGACGTAGAGGCGTAGTCAGTGTTCATGAATGCAGACCTGAGCGTTCATCTGTGTGTCCTTTTAGATGGAGCAAAAGCAGGTGGTGCCGCCCTTTAAACCAAACATTTCTGGAGAGTTTGGTTTGGATAACTTTGACTCCCAGTTTACTAATGAACCAGTTCAGCTCACTCCAGATGATGAGTAAGTAATTCTGCACACTAAAATGTTTTTAAACTTCTTTTGAAATCTAAATCTCAAAGCTATTTAATTGTTTATGAAAATATTATATATTAGCCATTCCATTGCTGAGTATTTGGATCCATTATGCTGATTAACACTCTAGCAATGGTTATATCTCCTTGCTTTGTATGCATTATCCCATTCTCACAACAGCCTTGGAAAGTGGGTATTGTCATCTTCACTTTACAGATGAGAAACCAAGGCTCAGAGAGGTTAAGCAGAGGTACACAGGTGTCAGCATTTGCACTCATGGCTGACTGGCCAGGGCCTGTAGTTTACATTGGGCTACACTGTTATGAAAGTGACACGAGGCTCTAGTGTAGCCAGCAGGGGTCGGAAGAGTTGTTGGTGTCACATCTTTTACAGATACATCTTAGAGGAACTTGAGGTTATTTTGATATTCTCTCTCTCTCTCTCTCTCTCTCTCTCTCTCTCTCTCTCTCTCTCTC